CCAGGTATATAACAACAAAAAAGGTTGAATCATGTCATCTGGACTTCATTTTTTTTGTTTTGTTTGCTTCTGGGTAATACCAGATGGCTAGGCCTCAGACCGACGAAGCCTCTTGGATGAGGGGCGAAACGTTTCTTTTTTAACAAAAAAAACGAAGTCCAGATGACATGATTCAACCTTTTTTGTTGTTAACATGAGAATCGTTGATTCTGTTGGTTCTCAGGATTCAGTCCCTTCTGTCACAAAGGGAGTCCAGTAAGTTGAAAGGGTTCAAGGCTGAAGGCCTAACAGGTGACTGGGTTGATCGGGGTACAGTAACGCTCTAAGCAGGTCTTCAATGTGGTAATTCAGTCCAAAGTTCATATGTCCAGCAGGTGAAGCAGGGGTCAGGCAGCATGCAGGTTTCACCAGCAGTCACAGCCGGTAGGTTGGTTGTCAGCTCCTGGCTGAGAATTAAATCAGCTGGAGGTTCAACTCTTTCCATCTCTCCATCTACTGGTTGTGTCTAATAATAATGGTCCTTCACATGGGTTGGATTCCTAAAGTTCCCACTTCTGGACTTCATGGGCCATCTAACAGTTTCCAACACATCATCTGAGTATGTGTATATATTGTGTTGTGTTGAGTTCACATTACACAATGTTTTGCTTAAAACTTTGGCATTACCTCTGGTTATAATTTTGTCAGTCAATATTTTATGAAGAACTGGTCATTATTTAGTGAAAGTAGTCCCTGACTGTACATTTACAACTTATTGCCATTTGGAGTCAATTCAAATAACCGCCTTAGCCACCTTACCCAAACAAAAACTGGTTGTAATTTAGTAATTTCTCAACACGGAATGGTTTTAGTCTAAAACTTTAGAATGAAAGGATGCAGTTGATATGGATTCCTTCAAGGGTTGGTAAATCTTTAATACCTTAGAAAAGAGAACATGTGAATTCAGTTATTTGTTGTCCAAGTCTGCTGAGTCGTTCAAATTACAAACCTGCTTTACTCTGTGCTTGTTGCAGAGATAAATCTTAGCGGAAACCCACATCTTCAAATTTAGACCCTGGTGTCTCTCTGGTTGGGTTCTTTTTGAAATATTTCATGTAGATTGTTGTCCTTGAGGCACGGGCAGAATGCAGTTTGAGAACATGCTGCGATACACCATGCAGTGCCCCCCGTGTGGTGCGTTGCATTAGGGTTGAACTCGTTGTACCTTCTGTCAGTTTGGATCTTGTTATTTCGCAAACATGTTTATTTAATGAGCACATAAAATGCAAACTTAAACTATCCAGTTTTATTTTTTTCCTCAAGAGGCATAAAAAAGCAAACCTGACCTTCTGTTGTTCATCTGAAGCAAAGCATCACACAGGAACACGCAGGGATCAAGTGTGGTCATTTGAACCTCCATGCATCAACGGGAGCAGAGTTCAGATAAAAATACAAGATTGCTCTCGAACTGTGACATTTCCTGCTGAATTAGGAAACACAAGCAGAGTTAATCTCATTGTGGTTCCTCTTACGCGCTGCCTTCACTCTGTTTCTGCCTGCTTTGAATCTTGAATTCAGTCAGTAAACTGGATTAACTCAGCCACTGTTGTCAAATTCACTCTCCATCTTCAAAGATCTGTTGTTCTTTGTCTCTCCTCATTTTCTTTTCATTTGTCGGCTCTGTCAGTCTGAAGGCTGAATGATGAGGGTGGACAGATCCATTTAACAAGCAGGAAGGAGCACAGAGCTGCTTTTGATTTTTTAATTACTAAGAGAAAAAAAACTTTAAAATAACTATTCTGGACATTCACCCATAAACTTTTATCAGATCATTTATATAAACTATTACAGTATAACTTTTAGAATAAAAGTCTTGCTTAAAAAACGCTCTTCTGTCCAGTTTTCTTTGATTCAACATTGATTCTTTTATTTTTTTTAAACCACAAATAAGCATTTATACTGCACTTGCCCTTAAATTGTAAATCAATTAAAGTGATTATACCAACCTGTACCTGAGAACCGATCCACACTTTTCTACTATTATTTTTTAATAATGATTTTCTGCTGTGTTTGCCCCTCACATTCACATGCAAATTAAAAACTGAAAATTTCCTTCCAAAGTGGAGCATTAAACAATCCATGTATTCAGTTTTGCATGTATTTGTGTCGACTCGTCCGTACCTCATTACCTGAGGCAGGTGAGGGGCAGAACATAAATTTAGGCTAAATCAATAATCAGCTTCTTCTTCACAACAATACTACACAGCAATGTAATAAACAATTACCTCAAGTGATAGAATGAGATCAAATTATGTTTTTTTAATTATTTAATCTGAATTTATCAAGGTATTTATCATGTACCACATGTGGTGGAACGACGATAAAGAATCTTTGACTCTGACTCTCAAGTGGAAAAATAATCTTAAATATTGGATTGTGGTTACATTTTAATGGTAAAATATAACGTTTGATCAGCATCTGAACGCAGAGTTCTGACTGACTTTTAAAAAGACTTTAGAAGTGTTTTCTGTCATCTGACATTGTGCTTGTTTAAAATCTAACAGAACCTATTATCTCTCTCGCGCGCTCTCTCATTTATCTATATATACACAGACCCTTTCCAAAAAAAAAATAGAATATTATGGAAAAGTTGTTTAACTTCAATAACTTCATTCAAAAAGTTAATCTTTAATATATGATAGATTCAAGCCCACAATTTCAAGTATTTGTTTATTTTTACATAATTTGGGCTTCCAACTTATGAAACCCATGAAAACAGGGTTTCAAAAAATTAGACTACTGTGTAGAACTCAGCCAATGCTACTTCTCAGTTTTTGCAGAAAAAAAGAAATTAGGATCACAACAACTCAATCAAAATATGGTACTTTCAAAACGATATGTCAATCTTCAATACTTGGTTGTGAATCCCTTTGCCTTAATCACTGCCTCGATGAGACGTGGCATTGAAACAATCATCCAGTGGCATTAACTGGGAGTTATGGAAGCCCAGATTTCCTTGATGCTGTCAGCTCTTCTTTGTTGTTGGGTCTGGTGCTCCTCATTTTCCTCTTGAGAATACTCCATAGATTCTCAATGGGGTTTAGGTCCGGCCAGTTGGCTGGCCAGTCAAGCACTGTGGCATCAAACCAGGTTTTGGTGCTTCTGGCAGCATGGGCAGGGGCCAGGTCCTGCTGGAAGATGAAATCTGCATCTCCATACAGATCCTCAGCAGAAGGAATCATGAAGTCCTCTAAAACATTCTGGTAAACTGTTGTGGTGACCTTGGATTTAAGAAAGCAGAGTTTACCAACACCTGCACCGGACATTGCACCCCAAATCATGACTGACTGTGGATATTTCACACTGGACTTCAACCAGTATGGGCTCTGTTCCTCACCCTTCTTCCCCCAAACCCTTGGACCTGGATTTCCAAATGAAAGTCACACTTTACTTTCATCGGAAAAGAGGACCAAGGAACCTGACAGTTGTAGTCCATCTCCCGGATGTGCCTGAATGTGGTGGTTTTTGAAGCTGTGACTCCCGCCTCATTCCACTCTTTCTGGATCTCTGCCAGATTCTGGAATCTTCTCTGTTTGATAATCCACTGAAGCCCACGGTCATCTCTTTTGCTGGTGCATCTTCTCCTGTCGCATTTTGCCCTTCCACTAGACTTTCCATTGATATGCTTAGACACAGCACTCTGTGAACAGCCAGCCTCCTTAGTTATGAACTTTTGTGTCTTACCCATCATATGGAGAGTATCAATGATGGTCTTCTGGTCAGTTATGTCTGCAGTCTTCCCCATATTGAACCAAACTGAAGCAATTTAATGACACCTGGGGAAACCTGTGCAGGTGCTTTGAGTTTAGTAGATGATTAGTGTCACACTCAGTTTAAAACATTCATGCTCTGAAAAATTTGGGCTGATTTCTCCACAGTATTCTAATGTTTTGAAATCCTGTTTTTGTGGGTTTCATAAGCTGGAAGCCCAAATTATGTAAAAATAAACAAATAAATACTTGAAATTGTTTAAATTGTGGGCCCTGAATCTATCATCTATTAAATATTAACTTTTTGAATGGAATTATGGAAGTTAAACAACTTTTCCATGATATTCTATTTTTTTGGAAAAGGTCTATATATATATATACTGTATATAATCAGTATATATCACCTCTAACATTTATTCACATCTGTGACTGTTTTAAAAGCCATGTTTATAATGTCTCATGTTTCAGTGAGCAAGAATTGTATCTTTGTAGCTACAAGGATGAATTATGGTCAAAATCCAGGGCAGACAGTTTGAGTTTTTCTACCAGCTGCTTTGTTCAACATGTTTTGTTATTGAACAAGTTGGGCGACATGGGGTGACTGACCTGAAATGTCTTTGAACTAAAAAGTTGACATGTCTTTTCTTGAAGCTGCACATGAAATTAGGAGGCTTTTAGTTGTTTAGAAGCTTAATAAAATTTCTGCTGTCCTTTGTTCACTGCAGGAGAGACCCCCGTTGTAATAAGAAGTAACTTCTACTTAAAATTTAATTTTTTAATAACTTAAATAACATTTATTAAGAAGACTGGTATACAGTAGTCCCTCGATTATCACGGGGGTTACGTTCCACACATCCCTGCGATAGGTGAAAAACCATGAAGTAGGAACGCTATATTGATTTTAGTATTTATACATATTTTAAGGTTTTATAAACACTTCCCACACTCTTGCAATGTTCTTGACTCAAACCTACATAATTTTAACAACATATGTATATGTACTGTACAGTACTGCAAAATTTTACTCACCAGCTCTGCAGACCAGCAGCTCAGTTCCAGTTCTGCAGACCTACCCTGCAGCATGAAGCCCACCGCTCCGTCCAGGTTGATGTGCACGTGGATAATTGAGCTTCAGGATTATTTGAGACTTTCCTGCCAGTTCTATGAGCTTAATAGTTTGATCGTAACTTCTGACTTTGCGTTGCTAAACTTTCCGTCCATTTCAGCAGAAAGCAGCGGCTGGAAGCAGTGTTGGCTTCTGGGTAGTGTAGTTATTTTGACTAGCCTTCTGGATGGAGGTGAAGTGTTTCAGCAAAATAAGAAACTGTCCAGATGACCTGAAAGAAAATTGTTGGATTGTATACCTGGATTATCGAGCATGGACTTTGTTGTTTTTTTATTTTGACTAGCATTACAATATAGGCTTATTGAAAGAAAAGTACAAAATGGCGGTGCCTGTTCTATTTTCTCATTAACTGTTTATCCTGTACTGTCCCAGTCACATGAGTAATACAGTATTAAGGCTGACAATCATTGAAAAACCACTAAAGAGCGAGACCACGAAGGTCAAACCACAAAGTATCGAGGGACTACTGTACAAGTAACTTTAATAGTATTTGTGTAAAATTCCAAGTGTATTTAATTTGTATTTTATTCTTAGTGGTTAGGACTGTTGCCACATCAAAGAAGTATAGGTTCAGTCGCCTATGGGTTTATTTCCAACAGTTTGTTCTCCTTGTGGGTTTTCTGCAGGTGCTCCAGTTTCCTTCTACAGTCTACAAACATGCACGTTAGGCTGCCTTCAGGCCCAGAAGCACCTTGAAAAAGAGATCTATGATCTGAATTTGCTTGGTAAAATTGACAAATGTTATTTTAGTACTCTTCCACCTCTGCTCTTAAATAGGAAATTCCTTTTTTATTCCAGCTGAGCATGCTATACAATTGAAAGGGACAAACGGGACATTTTTCACACCGAAGCGAGCACAGAAAAATAAACTTCAGTTCAACACATTGTAACATTAAAGTGTTGGCTCCTGATTTTTCTAAGGTTTCCTCTCGTTTTCATCTCTAGGCCAAGCATGCACGTCTGAGGATGGATCACTTACAGGATGGAAAATAATCCTTGAACCAAAGTCTTCCCATCAGTTTATCCAGTTTGCAGTGCGGAGCTGTGGTCGTTACAATCATCACCATCAGCAGCAGCTAATGTTTACAGCACATAGAGTCCACGTGGTTCAAGTCAAATAAACAGATATCTACAATCATATAACAACACAAAGAGAGACTTTTCTTCTTTCGTTTCAGAAATGAACACATGAACATTGAAACCTCCATAAAAGTCCAACTAAGATCCAGTCATGGTGTCTGACAGGGTGGAGCAGATCATGTGACTGGTGTTTTACAGAGATGTAGGAGGTGCAGGAGAAGATTGTGAGGAGCAAACTGTGCTCTGCACAAAGTGAGGAGTTGCCAAGAAGTCGTTTATTTCTGTCTTTCTTTGTTAAATGGGCCGATATCTGGCAGCAGTCCAAGAATTGTTCTTCAGATTATAACAAGACATTCTTCAGCAGACTGCAGACCAGGACTGGGACAGCAAGTCCAGAGCTCAATGAAGTTCTTGTCCCTGTCCAGAGAAACAAAAACACAGAATAAAAAGTGTTTTGATTCACAGGCTGAGGTCAAACAGGATATTTAGACGAAAGAAGAAAACACTTTACAATTCTCCACAAGAAAACAACAATCTGTAGATCAAAGTCCATTCTCAATAATCCAGGAAAATCCAACAAAGTTCAGTCAGCTCATATGGACGGTTTCTTTTTTGGTTGAGACGTTTCATCTTTGAACCAAAGGACTTCATCAGTCCACGGAGCCACAACAAACTCAGTCCCACGAGCAGCAAACCCAACCAACCAGTTTTCTGGTGATAAGATGGCTTCTGGAGCCCGCCCTCTCCCCCGTCGACTCCTCTGAAGCAGCCATAGTCAAAGTGGTTCAAAACATCAAAGTTCATGCTCAATAATAAGAACAATATAAGAAACATCTCAACAAAACCCAAAGAAACCGTGCAGAAAATATGACTGAACTTTGTTGGATCTTTGACCTGGATTATTGAGCATGAACTTTGATGTTTTGAACCACTTTGACTATGGCTGCTTCAGAGGAGTCGACGGGGGAGAGGGCGGGCCCCAGAAACCATCTTATCACCAGAAGACTGGTTGGTTGTGTTTGCTGCTCGTGGGACTGAGTTTGTTGTGGCTCCTCGGACTGATGAAGTCCTTTGGATGAAGGACGAAGCATTTCAATAAAAAAAAATAAAAATAAAAAAACCTTGCAGATGACCTGACTGAACTTTGTTGGAACAATCCGTAGGCTTTTTAAAAATGTATTTATTTTGAGTTAAACACAACCCAATACAAGTGTTACGAACACGCACAGGTCACAGGGATCGATTGCTCCTGTCCAAACTGAAACAAACTTCGTTATATTCTAAGCTGCATTTTGATGGATGAACTGCATAGTCTTCCTTAGATACAGAACTTTACTAATGAACTTTTTATGAATATGAATGTTTTTGTTCAGTGCCCTGACACGACTTCTGCTGTGACTTGGTGCTATAGAAACAAACTGAATTGAATTCAATAAACAGGGTGAAGAGAACCCAGATAAAAAAAAAATGTTAAAAGCTGCTGCCGGTGACTCGATATGATCACCATGGTAACCACACACCTGTGTTTTTCACTCCCTGACTGTCAATTAGATGAGAGGTAGACAAACATGCAGACTGATTAGTAAACCTCAGCAGTTGCTTTTATTTGTCTTTAAAAAGCTTGAACTGTGAGCAGCAGGACTGATGGTCATGCAAGAGTTTTTAATGCTTTTACTGTGGTTTTTAACAAAAAAAAAAAAACCATCCATTTGAACAACAATATTTTGAGCTAAAATCTGACTGCATGTCTACTGAACCTACAGCTCAAACCTCAAAACGCAGAGTGCATTTTGATATTTGAGAGGGCTGCAAGCAGTGAGACCCACAGTGGGTAAACATCGCTGATTTCTTATTTATCGTTTTGTATTTGCACCCAAAAAATGTTCTGGAAGGAAGAGGGGCTCGTTTGCAAACGATTTTAAAAGTTTAGACAGATAAAACGTTAGCGCATGCGATTGATAACCGTCAGCTGAATATTCTGTGGAAAAATCTTTAAAATAATTAAAATAAATTAACTTACTATTATTGTGTAAAAACTTAAAAATGTCAAAATGCCTTCTCAGTAAAGTTAAACTTTCTGTGACTTGTTCAACCGTGTGAAATCTTTACACACCATGTAGTTTATAAATCATTGAGTCTGGATCCAAAGGTCGTCGTGTTTTGTTTGTAAAAGAACGGTTCATACTTGTAAACCAAACTCTTTATGACTTATTGATAAAAAAAGAATGTTGTTTTTACTCGATCCTATCATTTATTGCTATGACTTTGTGCTCTGAGCATAAGAGCAAGCTTCAGACAATGGTTCTGGGATTCACACATGCCCAGCTCGAGGGTTCCTGGCACTTGATTGGCTCATGGACCTGCTGCGTATCAGTAGACCCAGTTCAAGCAAAATCCTTGTTTTGTATGTCACCAAGGGTCACATGTTCTCCAGACTCTTCTTGAAACATGCACAGACATTATTCTTATTTTTTACAATTCCTCGTTTACTTTACTTCCCATTTATTAAATGCCACAAAAAACAAATGACTTGTTAATTCTTGAGTCCATCTTTAATTCAGAAAATCCACTTCAACTCTAACCTGAGCTGCACAACTCCGAAGAGAACAGGCTTTTATCATGCATAAACACCTTTAGTGTTTTTTTTTATTACATTTATTAAATTCATTTGTAAAAATCTATTTATATTTTGCAACATCTATTAAAATGCATAGAACATTGTTCCCATCTGAGCAGCTCAGTTTGGAGTATAGTTTGTATTTTTAAAGTATTTCTATTATTATACTATTAATATTTTTATTTGTGTTTTTATAGTTTGTAGCTTTAAAGCAGTGCAACCAAAAAAAAAAACAGGGCAAATCGTTTAAGCCAAAGAGAACAAAAAGGGCTTCAGTACATTTGCATTGAAGCTAGGGCTGGACAATAATTCAGTATCGATGTATGTTGCAATATACTTTTATTCAATAACGATTATATGAATTTTAGCACATTTTCGATATTTTGATTTGATTACACCGTTTCACTGACGCATTTCTTTTTCTGTCCGGGTTGAAGCGGCCACTTCAATTTCAAACTGGACAGAAAAACGGCCACACAAATATGCAAGTGCGCGCTGACGTAGATGTTACACAGAGCTCGAGTCCAGAAGGCGTTAGCGGTAGCAGGCTCGGCTAATCTCCAACGCGCGTGAAGTTTTTGCTTCAAAATGAGTTCCCATGACCGTCACAATGTGACTGAACAAGTGAAGAGAAAGCAGATGACATCACTGATGAGCGAGGAAAGACTAATTAGTCGGTGTGGAAGTGGTTCGTCTTTCTAAGATCCGATAAACTGCAGGTTTCAGTGCTGCAAAATGTGATGGAGAGTCGTTCTAACTAGCGGTGGGAACACATTAACTTGTTCCACTCGATCAAATCTGCTGAGAGTCAGAAGATGAAGCACAATAAAGTTTGAGCCAACGTGTCCCTGAAACACCCCCAGCTGTATCAAAAGAGAAACTTGCTGCACGGGGTGTTACGTTGTTGTTTAAAGTTAAAACTATTAATATTGACAAAGTTGAGAGTTTTATGTTTATTTGAAGGTGATTTCAAATTCCATTGAAGGCTAAATACAAATAAAAGGTGAACGTTAATTTATTTGTACAGTTTGTACAGTTTTTCTGAGGCTTTTATAATTTGTTTATATTGATATCGACCGAAATTAAGAAATATATTGTGATAAAAGTTTTGTCCATATCATCCAGCCCTAGTTGAAGCCCTTTTTTCTTTTCTGTTTAAACGTAATAATGAATAATAAAATAAAGCAACAATATATTTAAGCTGCAAACATATGTAACTACTGGAATTAGACTTCCAAAACTGCATAAAAACTTTCCAAATGTTCAAAATTAAACTTTTTAGCTACTTGGACGGAGAAGTTTTGATACCAACAGACGTTTCATTCCAACATCTGTCCAAAGACAGAACCGCCATTAAGCTCAGCACTGACCGCCCTCTGACTCGATCTTTATGTGTTCCTGTACACATCAAGATCTGCCTTTTTAATGGACAACCCTGTAGGAACGAATATCAAATCATCTGCAAACACATCTGATTCTGATGTGGAAGAACATTCTGTGGTTGTTTTCTGTGCACACTTTGTGAAATAAAAGTGGATATAAAGACAAATGTATTTTTTACAACCAGCATCAGCTGCTGCTCCTGCCACTGCCGAGCGTTCAAAGCTCTAAATGTTTACTGAACGTCTGAGATGAGTAAAAGCTGTAAACCCAGCCTCAGCAGCCTGCACTCCCCCACAACTCTTTAAAACTGAATCTGAAACACAAGAACACAGAAAAGATGTGAAACCTTCCACGTCCTGAGCAACACACTTCTGTGGACAAAGTACTGGTTATGAATTTTTAATTCATACCAGAGAAAAGTGCTCAACTAAAAAAGTAAAAGAAGCTAGAAAAGGATTGTTCTACAGAAAACAAGTGTGCATGAAAGGCAAATATGCTCTTTTTCAAGCCTGCTGTTAAATCAAATTTATTCATAACATTTCAAAACATCTGCCATTGACCAAAGTGCTGCACATAAAACAATAAGTACTAAAAAAAATACTAATAATGAACACAAGAAATCACATAAAAACAATGCAAGGGTCGGCTCTCAAGTTACAGACACGCGTGTTTTAAGACGAGACTTAATGTCTAAAATGAAGGGGCAGCTAAAGAGCTAAACATTAACAGTGTAACCACTTACAGTCTGGACTGTGTAAAAAAAGAGCCAACAAAGTTATTCTAAATGCTGAGTTTAAGCGTATTGTTTTCCAGCGTTTAATGTTCCGACTCCATACTGTGGGTTTGAACACATTTTCCCCATATTGTAGGCAAGTACCTAACCACTGTACCACACACTCTGAGCAGTGCAAGGTTTGCTTGTTGTGTCATGCTACTGAAAAATACAACACATGTGTTACTAGGCCTGTCACGATAACAAACGCTGCTGGGCGATTAATTGTCTCAGAAATCATTGTGATAAACGATAATATTGTTTGAAATTTAACAATGATTAAGTCAAATTGATTTGTTTGGTGTGTAGTACCTGCTTTGACCACCTGATGGCAGTATAAGACTGAACCAAGGGATGGCTAGTTGAGCAGCGTGTCTCTTTAAGGAAAATGGGAGGGAGGGCCCTTGATGTGACATGGGCTGACATGGTGGACGTTCAGTGCGGTTTGAACTCTTTAGCATAGCATTTTTCACGCAAAGCTTTCATAAAAACACCAGTAAACAAGTTCTCAGCTTCTTTTTGCAGAGAAAATCAACATTTAACATGAAGGCACTTGTTTCAACCGTGAATTTTGGAGCTTCGACAAGACGGAAGTTTTTTCCCGAAATTGGCCTGTTAGCTTAGCTTGTAGTTTAGCTTCTTAGC